ATTTTAAATATAGGGAAGGGTAAGATTATAATATTAATATATAGTTTGTTAATAAATCTGCTTTTATTTAGTATTTAAAAACTCGTTTTGTTATCTTAGTATACAATCGGGACCAAATGCCGCAAACATACATATCATAGCTGATTTATATGCAGAAGTTGTAGGAGTACTGGCACAAAGCCGATTCATGTCTGTTAGAAAACATTTTATGAATGAGTTGAAAGAACTACGTACCAAAGAAGCTAGTCCAACAACTACACAGTCTATCATATCTTTACTTATGGGTATGAAATTTTTTAGAGTCAAGGTTAGTCAACATATATTTATAGTTCTATTCCGGTAAAAGTTGAATAGTAATAGTAAAATAGTAATTAATAGTTAGTAAATGCCATCAAATCAGATTTTGAAGTTTTGAATTATTATATTGCTTGTATTTTATGTTTCCAGATGGTTCCAATTGAAGAATTTGAAGCCAGTTTTCAATTTATGCAAGAGTGTGCGCAATATTTTCTTGAAGTGAAAGATAAAGATGTGAAACATGCATTGGCTGGACTGTTTGTAGAAATTTTAGTTCCAGTTGCTGCGGTTAGCTTTTAAGTTTCATCCATAATAATATATTACCTATAATAATACATTATATAACTAATTTAATTTTATATACTTAAATTTGAGTATTTTGTGCTAATGTAGTTTATAATTTCATGTATTAATTTATATTATTTTTTTCAGGCTGTTAAAAATGAAGTTAATGTGCCTTGTCTTAAAAATTTTGTAGACATGCTATACTCACAAACCTTGGATGCCAGTACTAAATCAAAGCATCGCTTGGCACTTTTTCCATTAGTCACTTGTTTACTCTGCGTTAGTCAGAAGACTTTCTTTTTAGCAAATTGGCACTATTTTTTAGCTATGTGTTTATCAAATTTGAAGAATAGAGATCAAAAAATGTGTCGAGTCGCATTAGGTATATACATTAATTCATTTGATACCATTTATTCCAATTTTGTTCTCATGATATCTAATTTGTTATCTATAATTAAATGTTTAATTCTAGTATAATACTAAGTGATGCATTTACGCGATATTAATTACATAGAAATTTCTATTTTGAATTTCTTTTATAATATACTATTTTGCTTCCAGAGTCACTATATCGTCTTTTATGGGTGTACATGATCCGTATAAAATGCGAAAGCAATCAAGCAACTCAATCGAGATTACAAAGCATTGTCAATTCTCTATTTCCTAAAGGATCAAAAGCTGTGGTACCTCGTGATACGCCTTTGAATATTTTTGTGAAAATTATTCAATTCATAGCTCAAGAACGATTAGATTTTGCTATGAAAGAAATTGTTTTTGATTTGTTATCAGTAGGAAGAACCATCAAAATAATTCTTACTCCTGAGCGAATGAGTATAGGTTTGAGATCATTTTTGGTGGTTGCAGATAGCTTGCAACAAAAGGAAGGTGAACCGCCAATGCCTAGAACAATGGGAGTATTACCCTCTGGAAATACTCTTAGGGTAAAGAAAACATTTTTAAATAAAATGTTGACAGAAGATACTGCCAGAAGTATTGGTATGAATAGCTATTTTTCACATGTGAGAAGAGTCTTTGTTGACATTTTAAGAGCTCTAGATGTTCAATATGGAAGACCATTAATGATGACAAATACTCAGAATGTTAACAAAGAACCAGATGAAATGATTACAGGAGAGAGAAAACCTAGGATCGACTTGTTTAGAACTTGTGTTGCAGCTGTACCTAGACTGATACCGGATGGTATGACTGGTGCTGAATTGGTTGATTTATTAGCTCGCCTGACTGTACATTTAGATGAAGAATTAAGGGTATTGGCTTATCAAAGTTTACAGACATTGGTGCTTGATTTTCCTGATTGGAGACAGGACGTTATATGTGGTTTCACACAGTTTTTGGCTAGGGATGTTTTGGATACTTTTCCGCAGGTAAACTAAAGAAAGTAATAATTAAGTAATGAATCTATTTAGATGGCATAGTAAATTATTAGTTTAAATGCTATGATTACTAATATTTTTAAATTTAAATTTGGTTTGTGTATGTAATTTAATTACAAGATCAGAGCATAATTACAAATAACTATTTGTTAAAACACTTTCTTATATTTTCAATTTAAATAGTTGTCATAAAATTATTTATATTTATAATTGAATTTTTTTGTATTTAATTAATATTTTTTACAGCTTGTTGATAATGGTCTAAGAATGTTACTACAACTCTTAACTAGCTGGAAAAATGCTTTAACCAGTGTCGCTGCAAATGCTTCTGCTAGAGCTAAAGAAAGCCCAGAATCTAATGGATCTAAAAAAATAGATATTGTGAGTTTCCATTGTAATATTACTTTGTTTTAGTAATTAGCAATTGCATCCGTGTAATATATTACTAATATTATATTATAGAAAGTAGAACCAGCATCTTCAATACTCCATATGGTTGAAGGATTTGCTTTAGTTATGTTATGCAACTGCAGAGTATTTCCAAGGAAATTAGCTGTACACATATTACGCGAGGTAAAGCATAAATGTTAATGAAGGAATCATCAATTCATGAAAATCAATGTAAAATACATGTAATTCAAACTTTTTTCAGGCGAAAATGCTTTTAAAAGCACTCTGTATCACAGAAGAAGATCAGGCTGTCATTGATGTTATAGACAAGTGCTGCCCACAAGTATATTAATCTTTTCCTCTTATCAAAAGATAAACTAGTACGTTTTTTTATTATTATTATTTTTAGGTTATAGAAAAATTACTTCCTAGTTTACCAGCTGCAGAAAAAACTGCTGCATTAGCTGCTTCGACCATAGACTTACAGTGGATTGCTGATAGAAGTGCCTCCGTATGGACTGCTGACGATTCATGTAATTATAAAAACGAAAGAATGTGGTATAGAGCCGTTTATTGAATTTCATAATTTGATGTCCTTTTAGGTAACGCAAATCGTTCAACGACTTCGTTGAATTCAGGTGCCATGGATCCTTGGAGTGCTTGCTTATTTGCTTTCCTTGAGCGTGGACGAGTCCTTACACATTGCCCTCTTGCTGTGACCCATTCATGGCCATTTGTTTTCGGCAGAGTTACTACTCTTTTCACGGTTGTTGATCCAACGTGAGTACTAAAAAAGTTTCTAAATTATTTACCATTAGCAACTTTAAATTCGTTTTCGTTGAACACAAATTGAATATATAAAGCTAATTATTATTAAATTTCTACAAATAAAATAATAAAAACATTTAAACAAACAAATTAAATATTGATTAAAATTTTGTAACTTTTAGCCCTGTGTCAGACAACAGAGCTTCATTGTTAAGAAGTAGTGCTGTTCCTCGACGTCCAGTTACCGAACGCGACGTTTACATGCATCTTTGGAAGAATTATGTTACTTTTGCATACCGTGTGGTACCTCCTGCTCCTTGTCCGAGCGTGAGGTGCGCCTCACCTGACTTAAGTCTCAGGTAAGTGCTTTCTTACTTTATCATCAGAGTTTTATTTTGAATGATTTCTTATTCTGTATAAACATATTCTTACAAAATTCAATAAGATCTTATTCAAAGGCCAATTTTTGTGGACATTGATACTCTATTTGTAGTTCAGAATAATTAATTTAAAATTCGTTTTAATTTATTTATAGTTTCCTCAGTATTTACTACAAATATTAGTTAGCTGCATTTTCAACTCATCCGTTTCTTAAAACTTATGCAAACTATCTCTATTAACTATTCGACCGTAATATAAATAAATATTATCGTAATCCAGTGAAAAAAGTATATTTCATAATTTTTTTCTTTGATAACAACAACAATTATTTTGAGTTTGAATTTCATTTTTCAATTGTTGTTGTTTGCATGCAAGTAGTAGAAATATTACATGTTATAGATGAAACTATTATAGTCACTACATAATTCTTAATCTTAGGTATTTCAAAATAATATAACCCCGTTATATAAAATAGCCCATTTTTTAAAATTTTTATTGAATATATTTTTGTTTGCACAGCGCGTCGACCAATTTATGGCCTTAAAATGGTCAGGTATAATCAGTTTAATGAAAAATACTTTATTTGAATTCATAGAACTTAATCTGTTTGTAATAAAATATTTTTCGACTTCATCTTATCCATATCATATATTATTTTATATATTACGCTCTTATTTTATCATACGCTTCCGAAGCATTAAATTTTAAACATGGTTATAACTAATTTTTTAAACTAATTAAATCAACTAATCTATTAAACCACATATTTTTCATGAAATTAACATTAAGCTTTATTATTGCATTGTGATTGCATGCTTTAATTTGCTTATTTAATCAAAATGTTGCAATTTTTCCTGCCGTAACATCGCAGATTATAACAAATTCTATTATAATTTACTATTCATTCAAATTGAGAATTATGCATTTTTTTACCCAGGCAGGTATCAGATAATAAAATCCAGTATACAAATTAAAAATAACTTATTAATAATTTTGGCGCTGCTTTAGTTTTAATCAGTATGGAACTTGATACTGAGTATGTTTTATTATTATTATACCATAAGAATAAAAAAAACTTGCATGGTTTGAAATTTTGATGTTTATTACAATAGTATTTAATATTACTTAAATTCTACTAATTTATGAATGTCAACAATTTTTTGTGTGGTTTGTATTAATTTAATTTGATTAAGAATAATAATATTTTAATCTGATTCAGGTCATTTATGATTATGATAACTTGGAAATTAAATTCTGTTTATTGTATTTGTGTAATTATCATATTTCTGTCGACACTAAAGCTTTTGTATGACAGGCTACGAATTTGCTTATGCTAGTGTTTTGATTCATTAATTATGATATATGTTTTTAGTGATCATATCAGATAGGTGCTAATCAGTCATTTATTTCAGTCATAATCATTTACTCGTTTATTGTTAATGTAAGCTTAACCGTACATAAATATGTGCGTTATTGATAGCGAATATAATAAATATCTAATTATGTAAGCATTTTAGAATAATGTTATCATGTTTTATCTAATTGCTGATCGTTTCCTTGATTTAATAGCCCATTGCCATTATTTATTCGTCCTTTTATGCAGAAAGCAGTAGTAGTTGGAACTAGTTTTGAAATAAGTAGTATCGAATTCGGGTTTTCTTTGGATTCACAGATGAACTCAGAACAATTCTTGTTTTTTAGCGATTGATTCTTCTCTAACACCATAGGTCTTTTCCTCTGGTCTTTCTCCAGCAATTTAATTACATTTTGAAATTTTTCAACCATCTTTCAACGCTTTTTGAACAGTTGATCAAATTCTCTAACATTTGCAAACCGATATCATAATTTCAGAATTTCACTAGTTTCTTTATAATCTGAATCACTCTAACTATCAGTTGAATTCTGATGATTTTAGTTGCGAATTTTTTCAAGAAATATGATTTTTTGATCAACTTGTGCCTCAAGTATTTCAAGTATTTAACATCTTTAAATTTACTGTTGATATTTTTATGTACCTACGACGGTATTAATTTGCATATTCTATGTATTCCTCTACGTATTTATTCATCTATATATCATATTTTGTAACTTGTCAGGGAACAACAAATGTCTTCTTATCGCAACTTTTGTCATTGTGCAATATTTTTAACTCAATCGACACGTGTCTTGCTATCTATTCTTCTTCATGTAATTGAATAACAGTATTGGTTACAAATATTTATGCAATAAAAATAAAACCGCATTGAAATTGGATATTCTTAATTGAGATGTCCAAACTACATAATACAATTGTGCCTTGTTGCAATACAACCCTAAACAAATAGCACATCGGGAACCGACTCTTGTGATAGCAGCGCCGCATTGGCCTCCACTCGCCTGAGCGATTCTATGGAAGATCTTCACCAGGCGGTAGCAGCGCCCACACCGCCAACTCCGCCTCTGCCGCCACTGGTGACCGCAACGCTACAATCAGGATTAGCGGCTAGATTCACTCTTCCCTTGTCGTATGGACGCAGAGACAAACAGCACAAGAGGACTAGGTATAGCAAATAGAAAGAATCGATTTGAGAAAACAATTTTAAACTAAAGGATAGGATTTTCACGAGCTTTTAGAGATAGTGCTAGTGGATAATTTACGAAAAATGTTTCGTGTTGATATAAATTTTATGAAGATATAATATAATAAATTATCGCTTTCTTTTTCATATTTATCATAAAAGCAATCTTAATTTTATTATTAATTAACTTCCCGTAGGGTAAGTTATTGTAATAGGCCGAAAATCTAAATTGAAATTTTTTACATTTCTCGACGTTTTGAAGGTTTCTGAACATTTTGGCATACCTCAGAAAAAATGGATGTGTGTGTGTGTATGTATGTATGTATATATGTATGTATGTACGGATACAAATTTCGAGTCACGTTTTCGGGCGCACGGATTAACCAATTTGAATGGTTCAAAAAACATTCGATTCCTATTAATAGGGAGAAGAGCTGATTAGTTTTTGGCAAAGGCAGGTCCAGCCATTTCGAAGATACGGAGCTAAATATGTAAAAATGGCAGTTTTTGAGAGAACTAAGCGTCCGATTTAAATGATTCAAAGAACTTTCTGCTTGTCTTAAGAAAATAATTGATTTTGTAAAAAAAATTTTTGTTTCAACTTTTTTTTTTTTTCAAAAAAAATTTTTTTTGTATATCGAAAATAATTCAGATTTTATTTTTAATTCTGACTATAGTTCTAATATACTTTAAACAAATAATTTCAACTTTGCAATTCAGTTTATATAATTCTTATAAATATTAGACAATGTTACAAAAAAAAGTTGAAAACATTCAATATTCCTCGAACATTTCGTTACGGTACGGGAAGTTCCAGCAATTTGCCTTAAGGCACGATGCCATACACTCCACTAGTTTTAATATTAATTTTATTACTATTATTAATAATAATATTTCTTATATAGATTTTTATCGCACGCTTTGTTCATTATTCATAGGAAACATTTTTATAAAATTATCCATTAGCACTTGATCTCGAACTGTTTTTTGTGTGAGGATAGCAGGTCAATAAAAACTTTGTGCTTTTGGGATGTTTTTAAAATTGGTTGAGTTCGTTGGTTGTCAACTTAACTATTTCAATTTTGTTAAAAATATTACTTTTTTACTAATTTATGTTTGAGAATAAAAAACAAAATCATCATAAATGATATATAAATATACATGCATCATGATTTTGAACATGATATGAATATTTTGTGCTGCAATGAGCTTTTGTTCTTTTTGTGTGGGTTTCATTAATAACGAAATGAAACATTTATCTAAAAGTTACTAATTAAAAGGTTTGTTATTTTAATGAACTGCAGTGATGAAACTTTGATTTGAATTAATTTTTTTTACTAACAACGTTAATTAGATAAAAAAAAAATGGGATCGAACAAATTATGTTGATATAAGACCTATTTTTGTACTCATGGATAAATATGTGGATACACAATATTTGATATAAAATTTTAGTTAGAACTAACTAAAATAATTGTGAATAACTTTTGTTGAATTTGTTTTAATATAATATACACAGGATTCCTAAATCTTGCTTTTACCTGGATTTCATTATTATATGTTTTTAGTAACTTTGGGTTTGCTGATAAATTAGTTACTATCACTGATACTGTTAAGCAAATATTTGTGATACATATTTATGTTTTATGTAACAAATCTTATCGCCTTATGTATCAAACTAATACATTAGGGAAACATTGAAATAAGTTAATAGTTCATTAGTTGACAACCAATTTTTTTATATACATCTATATATAAATTTGTAAATATACATAATATGTATGTATATATAGCGGCACTAAGATTTGTAAATACAAAATGTTTATTGCTGATGAAGATTACTACACAGAGCACTTGGAGCAGAAAAGTAACTTTAAGATTGTTCTTAATTTTCAATGAAAATTGAAATAGTGTCTCGCAATGAAATAGTGTTGATAACGCAAGATAAATTTGGTTTCTGAATTTCCAAGTATCACAATCATAACTTAAGTATTGCATGACTATTAAATTATATTAATATAATGCATGTGATTGTTAAGCATGAGCATGATGTAATGCAAATTCTTGGGTATAATAGAATTTGAAATATTGCATGGAAGTTAATATAATAATATTATTATTAGAATACCTATATCATTGAAGTTTATTCTATAAAAATTTGATTTATGAAGACTCCGTGTTTTTATGAACTGAGCAGTTATGGTATAGTTTTGTATTATTAATTGGAAATTAATGTATAAAATAATGTTTGTAATCACAACTAAAAGATCTAAATTTATTTCAGCTATGCTGATGGATGCTTGAAAAACTTGATTATGTCTTTCTCTATGCGAAATACAATGACTTTATACTTATATACTTATACACCTATATAAAATAAAATAATGATATAAAATCTATATTCACATTCACACATTAATGAACATTGAATACTGTTATAAAAAAAATTATGACTATGAAGTCGCGAGTTAACGTTGGAAATATCCCTATAAATGTTATTGTTAATTGATCAATTAAGCATTCGGTTATATTTTTACTTCCCACAGTTCGTCACCAGATTCTTTGAGTGCAGAAAGAGGTGACAGTAAGTCGCCTGGTGCACCAGCCGGTCCTGCTCCGGCAGCTCTGTATAAATTGACGGTTCCACTTTTACGATGCGAAGCAGCTGATGTGCGAGATGCAGCAGCTGGAGCTCTGGGAAAAGTCAATGCTGAAGCATTGAAGTAAGTAGTATTTTTTATCATTAATAATTAGAAAATTATGACGGCAATTAAATTTTTAAGAATTGTCTTCTTAAATTAGAAATCGATTATTCTTCTAAAATACGTTTCATAAATTTTATTTTCAATTATACATTTTTTGTTTTCTTTCAGAGATCTTATGGAAGAATTAGTTCCTTACATTCGTGAAGCTGTTGACCGAAAACAAGAAAATATGAGACGTCGTAGACGTCGTGATGCTTTACGATTGCAGCTGGTACGGGTATTGGAATTAATCGCCGAGTATGGTACATTTGGAATAAGGTATTGTAGTACAATTATGAATACTTTAAGATATGATAAACGTTATCCTATTTTTTAAAAGCATTACCAGTATATTTGGGTCTCACATATCTTAATTTTTGTTCTTAGGTTCAAGATTGTTCGCCTTGTAGTAGCTTAAGTTATTTTCAATGGCTTTTTTTTTTGTTATAGTCCAAGTGTTCTAGATAGAGAAACAATGTCTCTACATCCAACATTCGTGGAATATATGGAAGGAGCCAGATTATATCTAGAGAATGAAACTAAGGAAGACAAAGACGCACCCGCCCAACAAGAAGTAAAATTACATTTCTGTGATTTTATCAGAAAAATGATCAAAAGTTTTTCTCGTAAGTGTACATAACTTAATAATTGATAATTTCTAAATTACAACAATCATGAACCAATATTTCATATTTCAGTTGAAACTTGTACTACTTTATTAAAGCGAGATTTACGAAGTGGCCTTTTTAATTTATTTGCACCGTGGTCTGGGCCTTTTGCTAAGCCATTAGGCTACACTCAAAGTCATTCATCCTCTGCAGATGCAGATGAAAAGTTACAAATGTCGGCTTTGCAGGTAAGATAATTCTAATTCTAATTGAGAACTTAAGTTTTTTTCATTTTAATCATTAATAAAAAAATAATAGTCATTTTATTGTCATATTTCAAAAAAAAGTTTCATTGTGAGTCGGTGAGTTTATATTGTTCACTTATTAATTTTTTTTATATAATCGAAAAAAAGGTGAATAATTTAATTGCTAATTAAATAATCATTGAAATAGTCCAAATTTCGGAATAATTTCGTTTTTATTCTAGATGACTTGAATGTAATTTAAAGAAAACATATTTTTGTTGTTCGATATTTTTTTAATTTCTTATGAACAAACTGCTCGCGTCTATCTGAGTTTAATATTAAAATCCTTGTCTATTTATTTTAAATAATTATGCTAGTTTATAAATACAATTATAAGTTATAAATAGTTGGGATTAAAGATCCCAAGAGTGAATGTAAGTAAGTAGGTAGTCTGCATTACTTCAAGCATCAAGTTTCTTCACGGGGGGCGTAGCTCAAGTGGTAGAGCGCTCGCTTAGCATGTGAGAGGTACCGGGATCGATACCCGGCGCTTCCAATATCTTTATTTTTGTTGCAAAATCTAGCATTGTGAGAGATATTAGATTATTGCAGTATCGAATGAGTATTATGATAAGCTGAATAGAAATGAGCATATTTTAAAGAGAATATATAAAAATATATAAAAATAAGTCGGGTTTTCCTTCCTGACGATATAACTCCAGAACGCGCCAACCGATTTCGACGAATTTGCATTCGTTGGCAAGTTCTCGGGCTCCGTGAGGTTTATAGCAAAGAAAATTGAAGAAAAATTTCAACAGAAAAGCGTAAAACAGTTTTCTTTTTCACATACAGCGTTATCTCTGATACTTAGCATGTACTAAAAACCAATATTTTAAGTAGATGGTGCCGGTAGATACATTGTTTGACAGCTACTCATTTCTTTTCAAATATAAAAGAAAAAAAAAAATTTTATCTTTCTCACGAAACCATCTGGTGGCGAAACGGAGTTCGCTGGGTTTGCTAGCTACTTATAATTAATATATTTATGATATGGAAAAAAAAAGATTTTTTTCGATTATCGAATGCGAATTATAATAATAATAAAACAAATGTTATGATGAATACATGACGATTACCTTTTGAATACAAAAATGTTAAATATCTATCGTACTCTAAGAACTGTCTCATACTTGTGTGTAGCACATGAATACATTGTGTGAATGCATATTAGGTAACAATCGAAATTTGACGCCTCGGGATATAAACTGATTGCTCTACTTTTACCAAACCGGATTGTTATATGATGCTTGTTTTGAATTGCTGTTCATGTTGCATTGAATCAACTGTTTTGTACTCACAGGGGGCGTAGCTCAAGTGGTAGAGCGCTCGCTTAGCATGTGAGAGGTACCGGGATCGATACCCGGCGCTTCCAGTAAATTCTTTTATGAAATTTTGAAAAAAACTATATTTGATATATTATCGACTATTTGATCATTTTATTTTAAAATCCATCATTGGAAATTAATAGTAAATAGGAGACCCCAAGGGTTCAGAGTCTCTTCCACCCTAGTTAGCCATGACCTTATCAATATTAAAGCTGTCGACCGATATTGGATCCCAATAAAATTATACTAACATAAACGCCTTTTCATTATTCGCATCCTATATTTCGAAATATAGGATTTTCGCAAACAACGATAATGTGTAAAAGGTATAGGATATTTATTTGTTTTTTTGTTATTTTCGAACGATATCTTTTACAGAATACGATAAATATTTATCATTTTGTCAATATTCTGCCTCTATTACACATGCTGTTAATTAATTCGTTATTTAATCTTGAGGTTGGCGTACAGTTATGTATACACTGCCTCTACTTTGATGGAGTTAATTTTTAATATAATCTCATGTAATTTTACCTTATTATTTTTATTTCAGGCAATGAGCGCTTTGTTGTGCTGCGGCGGATGTTTCGATCCATTAGCATTAGCTGAAGATGGATCTTTGTACCCTTGGCTGGATATGCTATTGTCGTCTACTGATGATAAGGTATTCAGTGAACTTTCCAACATTTTATTTTCTAAAAACTTAAGATGAAATATATATTAATATTTAGAACAAAATTTTATTAAAGAATTACCCAAAAATATTTAATGCTATATGTTTAAGCAATTCATCGACAAAATGCAAATTAAATAATTTATGACTGAAAAAAAATCTAGTGAACTGGTTTCTTAAATACATTTATAAATTATCTGAATAAAACTTTTGTCGCTAATTGGCATTAATTGCTATTTAAAACAGCAAAAAGAGGGATCTCATTTATAATTTAACCGGCTTCCTTTCGCGTAGAAGTTTTTAAGTACATAATCTTATTACGAAACAAAGCGAAATAAAGTTTTATGCTTTTAATATACAATAGAAATATATTGTTTCAATGTAAAAGACATACTATTTATATCCTTCATATTTTATTATATGGTATTAGAATCAAATTTTTTTCTAAGTAAGTTAAAGAATTTTCATTTAAATAATGATAATTTACATGAAAATAGTACTTGAAGTTAATTTATTTTGATCACGACACAAATTACATTTATACATAAAATCGCTTATGAATTCTTTGATATAAATTAAATAGAATTTTTGAAAAGTATGAATATTACTTTCAATTGAGTAAACCTAATCATCCAATATCATATTTTAGATATACCAGCTAGCTCGAGAAACTGCAGTGTTATTATTAGAAGCAAATCCAGATATTGGACCACTTTTGGATTGGGCTTTGGACAGATGTTACACTGGACAGCCTCGTGTGGCTGATGGATGCTTTATGGCCCTTGCCGCCATATTCAGTGCACGGTAAAAACCAATCAGCAAATTATTATTGGTTTCAACAAACCTTATTGTTAATGATATAATTTGACAGAATTATTCTCGAAATAATACATTACTCTGGTATAACATTAACAAAAACTTGTTCTGGTTTCATCAAGTTGACTTATTGTTAGACTGTAAATAGAACATATTTAAAAAAAATGATAAATTTATATTGAAAAAAGATGTTACAGATTATCTACTCATTTAGACATGAAATTTAATTTAATTTTTTTTCCATTAGTGAATATCCTTGTGATCACTACACTGCCGTTATAAATGTTACCTTGCTGAGTACTGGTTGTCCTCGTGCTGCAGTGCATGATACTGCTCTCCAACTTCTGCAGCTTTTGGATCGAAGATTTTTCGGAGATGTAGGACCCCCTTTGAGTGATGGCGACCAGCCCGGTAAGTCGATTTTAAGATTTGTTTATAAATTGATATAATATTGCCCATTGGAAAGTTATAAAAATAAATAATTGGCAAAAAGTTATTGCATTGCGGTTTTGAGATACCAAAATTTTTATAATAATTGATAATATAAAAACTCAAACCACGGCATAATATCTTTAATATATATACTATATATATATATATATATATATATATATATATATATATATTATTCACCGCATTTGCACATCCATACGCAATTAAATTTAGTAGTCGTTGAACAGTTGTAATTGTATCGATATTTATTAATAAGAGCTAATTGCAAGCGCACATTCCAAAAATAACGCTATTTAATATTATGTTATGGTATTAATAGAATCAATGGAAATAATTTCTGATTCACGTCCTATTATTAAATAATTTTGATACCTATAATCAGCTACATATTCAATGAGTATAGATAAAATATTACATAGTTTTTGGTGTAAGTATTTCTATAAACACGTACGCAATACATAAATACTTCCACTGATTGCCGATTGTTAATTAACCTAATGGATGAAATTCATTAACTATACCCTGTTTTTGTATATAAAATACATCACCCATCTCGAAATTCGAACCTTTGTTAATGATTTTAAATACGTTTGTATTGAAATGTAGTGGTTCAATTTAGATTTGAAATCTTCAAATCAGTTTCATTACACCAATTTCCATTATTAAATTATTACATTATACCATACCTAATTTTATTCCTTCATATATAATTGATCAATATTTTTGCACTGAATTTAGATATTTTTTGCAGAAATCCTAAATAGCTCTTTTCAAATTTCTGACTTTAAAATTTATTTATATTTATAGAAATATAGGAAATACTGAACATGAATTCATACCTGACAAACTTGTTTGATTAGTATTTTTATAAAACTTCATTTCGTAATAGGTATATACAAAATAGTTTTCTTACCAAAAACTGTGTGATATTGGAATAAATTTCCATATGAATTTCAATTGTTTGCTAATGTTTCGAAATTTGGACCACTCAATTCATTTAATGTTTATATTATTTGCATTAAACCAGAATATGGCATAGGGTAGAGTGCAATCAATTACTGATTTGATCATATCAAATATACATTTGAAAATGGTAAACAATTGAAACTAGGCTGTAGTTTGAATTTAAGTGATTGATACATACATCTCTTAATTGCGTTTAGCTAATTTTACGTTTTAATTACCGGGCTGAGTTATTATATTGTATATTTGCGAATTATGTACAAATTATTGATATTGTGACGAGAACGGTTGACGCCCCCTTTCTTCGATTTAATATCAATTGAAAATAATTAATTTCTTTGCGCCAAGTTTATAGTGGAAATTATCGTAAAAATAATCATATATATTATTAAAATAAATCGGCGAATATATGAGAGATTAAAATCCAAACATTAAACAAACGATAGGCTATTTGTGAAATGGAAATACATCTTAAGCGCTAATTTTTTCAAATAATGTAGATAATTGTCTTCTTCTTCATAGAAATTTATTAAGACGTTGAAAAATGTACAAAATCGAATTAAAACATGGAAATTGATTCTAAAATTGGAAAATTAACATATCAAAACTAAAAGATTTATTTAATCGAATTACAAAATTCTGCGCCAGTTTTATGGGTTGTGAAATAATATATTGTATAATAATATCATAATGAGTATGGATAATTTATACGTTTTATTATCTCATATGTGCCATCATTTAGTAGGAGAAAAACTTCACAGAATATACATGATAAAATACATTTTTTTCACAAAATTATAGAGCACTCCCATAATAGTATGTATGTACATGTGCATTAATATACTAAAATTTTATGACATTGATTGTGTTTTTATCATTGTTATATTTTGAAGCTCTTCTCCTGCTGAATGATGATACATATCAAGCGTCAAAAAGTATAAATAATTGTTTCAATTTTATCAATATTTTCTGCATTAGCTAAATCATCTGTTTCCACATTCTATTTTTGTGCTTGATAACATTTGTTTTGTGAGAAAGGTAAAGGAACTGACCCGTGGACAAAAGTAAAGATTTCGAGATAAAGGTTTAGCATTAATCCAATATTTAGAAAGGGTTAACTTATCTCCCATTGTAACATGTCGACGACAAAAACTCAAACAGTTTCAATCCATCACCCCGTTTTGACTTTCGTTGGCGGCACAATAGTAGGTAAACTCATTTCCGAGATTTCGTTTTGTTCAGCTCACCTCTCTTTTGAAAACAAATCTAAAACGAATTTTCAACGAGCATTCGTGAAACTTTATAATGGATTTTGTCTGAAAATTATTTGGGTATATATCATATCAAATGCCGTAACTGCGTAAAATTTTCACAAAGTTTTCTACAAGCGATTCATCATTATTTAAAAATATCGAGGTTTTTTGCTTCGACGGTTTGAAACGATCGATTATGCGAGTATTGATGAGTGTGTGTGACTAATTTAGGAAAATATATCGTGTCTGTTATTAAGTATTCGCATTTTTTTAAATAAAAGCTGTCAATGGCACATTTGCTATTAAAAATGATGTGACGTGACATAATTTAGGCGGGCACCATTGTATTGTAAATGAAACGTATCAGCAAAATATGTCATACAATTTATAACCGATTTATAAAAGATTTTCTTTGATCATAATTATTTTTATTCCAAATATTTAATACATAATATTTAAATGATTATAAAATTATAACACATAGTACACATTACATTTATCATTTAATAATATTTATATCATCCTAAAAAGTAAAAATTTATAAGGAATTTTAAATATATACATCAATATTTACATTCTTTCCCAGTAATATATTTTATTCAAAAAATAGTTTTCAGTCTTTTCTGTTAATGACTTACGTATTTTATAGCACACTATTTTTATACAATTCAATAAAGTAATTACGTACTATTATGAACATTGAGGACTAGAACATAAATTGTTCGTAATTCAAATTTCTTATATTAAAATATTATTTAATATTATTACAATATTTGTAGAAGTTTAAATTTTGTACGATGTACACACATATAGCCCATATCAATTTCAATTTTTTAGGTGCATAGTATAATCATCTTTATATAAGTAATTTTAATAATTTTTTAGTAAGTACTTACTGACTTAGTGTTATTTTACTGACTTTGAATAAAACAATAAACTTGCAGTTAAGTTTTGTATTAATATTTAGTGGAGCTTGGGTAGGAACTTTTGGCGTTGAGCTTTTGTCAAGTTATTACTTGTTTTAAGCAACGTATGCACTGCTGTTTCATTTACGGAATATTCCTAGAAAACATTGTTTATGGAACATTTCTTATCCTTTATGAATCGCGAACTGAATTTCTGAAATAACACGTGTGGAGTTACGTCAAAAGTCATAGTTCGCTTGGCTCATGTAAAATGGAATATATGAGAAAACAGTCCTCAAATGGGGGTATGCAAATCCCTGAAGTTGTATATTTTTTCTGAACATCTGCTAAAGGGATTCTGAATAGTAGGATTTGAATGAAATACCGCAGCTTGTTTATACGATTTGAGCTTTTTATATTCAGGATTATGGTTAAATATCGTTTATGTATTAAAAAGATATTTTTAGTTTTGTATAAGAAAATAATGACAATAATAAACGACTGTTTTTCTCTATTTTGGATCGAATGGCATATTGGAAATTTTGATTCATCAGAATTACTTAACTGATACGGTGTAATTGAATTAAGCTTTTTTTTACGGAATATACATTGATACATACTCGATGCTATTAGAGCCTTATAAAATATCTTTTCTTTGCTGGTAGTTATTAAGTCGTTAGTATACGAAAGCTTCAATTGAATTATTCAATTTCATCACATTATTTTTATTCGCATCTTAATTAACTAAATCATAACTTATTAAATATAAAATATTTATCCTTCTAATAATTTTTCATATACGATTTGGTTTAGGCTCCTTCTTTCATTTAGTGATATAAAACATTCGCAAAGATTTCATTCTCTCACACTCAGAATTTGACATGCAAAGTCAACATTATATATTTTAGTAGATTGTGTATGATTAAAGACATATATTATATATATTTTTGGCAATTTAACACAGATAATTTACAACGTTTTTTTAGTTGTGCATTTAAGTCCACAGTTAGGCCAATATCTGTGGACACAAATGAACAAGTTTAATTTTTTATATAAAGTTATTTAAATTTTACTGCTTCATGATAAATATAATATTACATTTTAAATTATTTGGTAATTGTTAATCTTTGGTATTTACTTAAAATTGCTCTAAACGTTAATATATTCTAACACATTAATATAAAATGCACATTAATAATAAATTTGATTATATCAATTTTGAATATGGATAGTTTTTTAACAATATTTATATTTAAATGACTATTTAAATTACAAAATACAAGTTATCAATATAAAAATCATCTTATGATCGATTAAAAATAAAATTTCAACTTTTATAACACTTACATTATTGAGACCTTCTACTATAGACCTTATAATATACTTGTATAAGGTCTACGCCTTCAACACATTAGGATTTTACTTTTTTATTATTTGTTTTGAGAAAATTATTACTTTATGTTTCTTCTTCAATAGGCAATGCAATATATAATTATAAATTATGTTTAGAATAATTATTAAATTATTTGATTATAACGGCTTAAATTAACAATACATTTTCAATCACTTCGAATAAATTCCAAAAACTATTTCGAGTCCATGTCATTTTTTTCTTCAAGATCCTTATGGCTTATATTTGAAAAATATACAGTTTAACTATAATTCACTTATTATTGGTTAGATATTTATTCATAGATTTTATTTGGCTGTTGGAAAAGTTTTTTTCGGACAGTTTTTGAACTTTCATGCTTAGAACTGATTAGGGGGCGACTATTATCACGTGAGCGTTGTTAATGATTTTTGGATCCCCCTCCCCCTTGGTGATACACGGTGATATTCAAAATTATCCCTCCTTCCCCAGCAAACATCACGTGTATTTTTAGTTACGTGATAAAAGGTAATTTTTTGATTATTTTTTTGAAAATGTTTGAATTAAAAAAAAAGTTAAAAAATAAATACACGTGATATCTTACTATACCCTCCCCCACGTGATATTTCGTGATTTTTTGTCCAACCTCCCTCCCCCTAAAAACCTTACGTGATTAATGGACGCCCCCTTAGCACGTGTATATCGAGTGTAACGAACTCCTTTTTATCACAAAAAGTAATATTGTAGTTAAATTA